GACATATTTGTTCTGCAGTTTTACTAACAAAAAAAAATAATAGCAACAAAAAATAATGATAGAAATAATGATCTCGTGACATATGGGTTGAAAAGCGCTATCGTAGTCGATAGAACGTCGCGTGAAGAAGAAATTCACGCGTCAAAGTCCATCGCCTCTTCCAGGCTCGAGCGTACCGTTCTTCATGATACATTGTATCGTCGTCGCCGGTTCGGTCGACGCATACATATTCACATATACAGGGAGATTCTCTCGGCGCGCAACACAATAGCCGCCCCGCACAATGGAACCCTGCTGTGTTTGCGGGCAAAAAGCCCAGGAGGTCAAGTCGTCGGACCCAAGACTGCTCTGTGTGTTTTGGGTCTGACGACTTGACCTGGGCATTTTGCCCGCAAACACAGCAGGGTTCCATTGTGCGGGGCGGCTATTGTGTTGCGCGCCGAGAGAATCTCCCTGTACGAGCTGCAAATGAGTGCGCGGTCAAGCACAGAAAACGAACAAACTGCCCTCTACAGAAAAAACGAGGAACTTACTTTTCTGGTCTGTTTTACCTTGTTGACATCTTTCCCGAATGAACAATCAACGAAATCGTAGTTCTCAAATTACTTCTAGCTGGAGACTTGTACAATATCAATCATAGTGTCCGTTCGTCTAGTGAAAAAGCACTAAAGGGGAAGGTGCCCCTACCACCGGGTCACGCGCGTGCGCGCAGCCATTATGCCCCGTTCGCATGAGAAACACCTTTGTATTTCAGGAGAAAAGAAATTTTTTCAAATAAATGCTTAATCGGAGAAGTGAGGCGGTTCATTCCTCAACGAGTAAAATATATAATCAGCACCATTAAAAACTCGGTTGTCGAAATAATTAATTGCGCCGAGCCTCGGACGGCGAAGGTGGCTCCCTCCGCCCTATAGGATGGTGCACGAAACTGCGAACGCAGACCGTGATTCCATACCGAACCGGAAGCTGCATAAGAGCCTCTCTCTCGCACTGTAACTTCTGTCCTTGTTTAGCCCCATTTCACTCCGACTCCAGGCTCGTCGAATGCCATCCTTGTCGTTTCGCTTACGTCGAGATAGCGCGAAACTGCCCCTCGTTTGAATGCCTCGATTACTTCTTAGCCACTTAAAAATTGTTTAAACTATTACAAAAAGTTGTAAACGAAAAACTTTAAACACTTGAAAATGAAAATAGAAAATGGTCTGTTGTTTAAGACACTGCAACGTGTTACGAAATATAACGGTACGGTCTGTTTTTGGGACAATTATTGTTGTTGTTAATTCCATTTATCGTTTTCTTTAATTAAAAGCTCATATTTATTAACCCGATCAAATATTATTATAAACAATTACTCTTTACATTATATTCTTTTAACATTTGTATCTAAAATAGTCATTCACGTTAATTAAGATTGATTACTATTGAATACAAATGATTTTCAAAATTATCTGTTACCTACAAGTAGAGAAAGTGGAGAGGAACAAAGGGAACTGGGTATGAAAAATTGAAGATTTTTATTATAGAGCTGCATCCACGTTCAAGAGTTTGATGGCTCTGAAAATAGCCGTATCTTTGCTAGTTTCGTGACTCTCTCGTGACTGGAAATCCAGTTTGGTGATTTCGTGTCACGGATTCGTCACAAGGACGCGGGGTGGATCTCTGTGGAGCACTACACCGAGCGTACTTCGCCCATCAAAATAATATCGTCATTGCTGAAACAGACAGAAACAGAATTTATTAGGCACAAAACGTAACAAAAATTAAGAGTGCGAATTACAAGAATTTATAGCCGTCTTAACATTTCTGAGGTCACTGCCCCGCATGTATCCACATGAAATCGTGCTCGGTGACCTGTCGAACCTTTAACGTGATCGATAAGGATCGTTCAGATTCGGTGGGAGTATAATTGGCAAAGGGAATTCTTCCCCTTGCCAGTTATACTCCCGCCGAGTCTGAACGATCTCTATATCTAATATTTGGTCCAATACCCTTTATTCTCCACAACTTGCGTCAGTCGATCAGGTATGGACTTACGCAAGTTGGAGAAGAAGTGCGGGTTGATCCGGAGTTCCTCCCAGACGCGCACAGCGTGACTGACCAAGGAGATCCGCGTCCTCTCATGGCCAGGAAGCCACCTTCTCTCAATCTCACTCCAAACATTTTCAATGAGATTGAGGTCCGGTGACTTCGCCGGCCAATCGAGGACAATGATCTCCGGATGTTGGTCGAACCAGTGCTGCACGATGCGGGAGGTGTGCACCGCACTCTTGTCTTGGACGAATCGAAAGGTGGGCATGTCCTCCTCGGAATACATCGCGCGAAGACTCGGGAGGAAAAAGTCTTCCAAAATTTCAATGTATTCCTCAGAGTTCATTTTGGACGACACCTCGATCAATTCTCCAAGCGAGTTTGAGGTGATCCACCCCCACATCGCGCACTTGACTCGACCTTGTCGATCGCTGTGGACGACATACTCCGGATCAAGCCGCTGGTTTGGCGGTCGCCATACGTGGACTCGACGATCAGGTGCCGAGGAGAACACCTTCTCGTCGGTCCAAATTGTGCGATCCCATTCTTCCGGCGACGTCGTCAACTCTTGCAACGCGAAGCCCACACGGGCTTCGCGGTGCTGTTGCGTTGAAGCCATTTTTCGCGCCGACCGATAGCACCTTAAACCTGCTTCGTGGAGGCGGCGTCTAGCGGTCGACGCGGAAATCGGCAAACCAAGATTATTCCTGGCTTCTGTCGCCGGAAGAAAGGAATCTTCAGCAATTTGGCCGACGAGTGCCGTGTCCTGTTCGGCGGTAGTCCTCTTCGACACCTGTCGTGGTCCATAGCGACTTTCAAGCCCTTCTTCTCCTTCTTCCTGCCATCTCCTAATCCACCGACGCACAGTTGTGGAGCTACACCCCACCCTCTCAGCTATTTGCTGAATAGTCCACCCCGCGTCCGAGTATAATGTAACTATTCGTACTCGCTGCGTATGAGATAATTTTAGATCCATATTCAACAGATCGATTGATTGATTACTCTGCACCCTCCCGTTAATATAGCTTCTGTTTCCGCGGTAGTGGGGTGGTGGTGGTGGGGGAGGGGGGGGGTGTCCAAGAAACAGAGAATTTTCGCGAGTCAATGGCACTCGCGCATTGTCTGCGTTTTATTTTTTTTATGCTACGCAGTTACACATTTACTGGTCATCGAACGAGCGACATGTGCAAACACCAAACATCTCGAACGATTTTGCTTGCGGTATCATGTTTTGTTTGTTTGACACTGTTCTTCTAGGTTCCAGTCCTTCGATTGCATACTAATTGTGTTTTGGAAGTTATTAATTTTTTATCAAACGTAGGAACTCTTTTATTAGATACACAAGCAAAAAACGAAAAAGGAAAGGAGTGTATGTAAATCATTCGTGACAGATGAAAAATGTTTCCCATCACCGCCGAATAATTTGTTGTTACACCGCTCTGATAAAAGTGAATGAAATCGTAGCGTAGGTCTGAGCAACGGGTTGTTATGAATGCTCGTCGCTCGTTTACTCGCGTAATTCTCCCTCGCGAAATATTGCTGATTCGTGAGTCATGAAATTAGCAAACAAACGGCTCTTTTCAGAACCATCAAACTCTTGAACGTGGATGCAGCTCTATAATAAAAATCTTCAATTTTTCATACCCAGTTCCCTTTGTTCCTCTCCACTTTCTCTACTTGTAGGTAACAGATAATTTTGAAAATCATTTGTATTCAATAGTAATCAATCTTAATTAACGTGAATGACTATTTTAGATACAAATGTTAAAAGAATATAATGTAAAGAGTAATTGTTTATAATAATATTTGATCGGGTTAATAAATATGAGCTTTTAATTAAAGAAAACGATAAATGGAATTAACAACAACAATAATTGTCCCAAAAACAGACCGTACCGTTATATTTCGTAACACGTTGCAGTGTCTTAAACAACAGACCATTTTCTATTTTCATTTTCAAGTGTTTAAAGTTTTTCGTTTACAACTTTTTGTAATAGTTTAAACAATTTTTAAGTGGCTAAGAAGTAATCGAGGCATTCAAACGAGGGGCAGTTTCGCGCTATCTCGACGTAAGCGAAACGACAAGGATGGCATTCGACGAGCCTGGAGTCGGAGTGAAATGGGGCTAAACAAGGACAGAAGTTACAGTGCGAGAGAGAGGCTCTTATGCAGCTTCCGGTTCGGTATGGAATCACGGTCTGCGTTCGCAGTTTCGTGCACCATCCTATAGGGCGGAGGGAGCCACCTTCGCCGTCCGAGGCTCGGCGCAATTAATTATTTCGACAACCGAGTTTTTAATGGTGCTGATTATATATTTTACTCGTTGAGGAATGAACCGCCTCACTTCTCCGATTAAGCATTTATTTGAAAAAATTTCTTTTCTCCTGAAATACAAAGGTGTTTCTCATGCGAACGGGGCATAATGGCTGCGCGCACGCGCGTGACCCGGTGGTAGGGGCACCTTCCCCTTTAGTGCTTTTTCACTAGACGAACGGACACTATGATTGATATTGTACATCATCCCTTGGGTGCTCGTTTTATTCTATCCAACCCAAAGAATATTAGTCTGGTACCTATTTGGACATACGATTCACAGAAATGTTTATATTACAAATAAATCAATGCAGACGAGTCCGATTCGCCATTTTCTTGACCGTTGACAGAAAAAAATTTCAATATTTTATAACTTTTTTACGATTTGGATAATATAAGGACCAGGCTAATATTCTTTAGGACCTCCTGAACACGTCCCTCGAATTTTTTTGCATTCTGCTTAGAATTGACTCGCGTCTAGGGATTTTTCTAGGAACTGTCGGTAAGGTTTTCGAGGCCGAACTCCGAATTCCGTATCGGTAAATCAGTCAGCGTTTCATTGAAAATTAGGCCGAACATCAAAGTTGCGACTGTGAATACCGCCCTAGGTGATATTAATATAACGTGTATTATGTATAATTTATGTAGAATTTAATGTTAAATTGTTCAATTACACAATTTATATTTTATTAGGAAAATGTAACTCATGATTTGTAAAGTTTTTATATTTCTCTGCATAAAGATTTTCAAAACATCGCGCACAGCGCAGGCCAACGGGCGAGTGCGCATGTGTAATTAAACAAAGGCACTAGGAACTTATATCATCGATATATACATACATACATAAATACATATGTCAAGGGACGCGTGCAGTATTGAGGATTAGAAAAAAGCATAGTATTTTGGTTTACTAACCACTACAGTTGACATTGTTTTAATATTTTTAATTCTTATAATAGCTTTAGCATGACGTCAGCAATAGAATCTATGGTAGTAGACGAAAAACAGCTACCAGAAAAACCAATAGACAGAGAAAAAGTAAGTAGTAATACAGTATTTGAGAAATATCCATGGATTTATAGTCTTTTTACAACATTTGAATATCTGTTTAATTAAGTAATATTAAAATTATATTATTTTTATTAACATTTCTAGACATGTCCACTTTTACTTCGAGTATTTTGCAATACAGGACGACATCATAATATAATGGAATACAGTAGAGGAAATGTTCCCTCAAATGAGTTACAAATATATACATGGTAAAATTTTTTATTAATATCTATAGGTTTTACGTTAATATCTCATAAATTTTTTAATTAAATACATTTACAAGTATTGAGTCAAATTAATTTATTTCATATACTTGCAGGATGGATGCTACTTTAAGAGAAATTACAGGATTAGTTAAAGAAGTAAATCCAGATGCTAGAAGTAAGGGAACATATTTTGATTTTTCATTAGTAACTCCAGAATTACGAAATTCTGGATATCGTATGCGTGAAATTGGGGTTACCTGTTCAGGACAGAAAGGTGCTGATGATAACAAAACACTTGCACAAGCAAGGTATACATTTTTTAATAAATAAACTTAAGTTTAAGGTGAATGAAGTAATTTCATTTATTTATGTAATTGTAGGTTTACAATTGGTGATTATCTAGATATATCTATTACACCACCAAATCGGCAACCAGCAATTAGGCGAGGTGCATTACGTCAGTATTGATCCAAATAACAAAAATTATACCCTCCATAAATTATTTCAATAATTCAGTAATTTTGTATTAATAAAAAATATTTAATTCAAAAGCTGTTGTTATGTTATTAGTGTGTGATTTATTTTTCTAACCTTAAAATTACTTTTCTTTTTTATTACCACTGTCATCATACATATTTTTACTATTTATTGTTACAATTAATTCTAGTTTAATTCTAACTTCTACTATTTGAAAGTGTTCAAAAATATTTTAGTTTCATTTTTCTGCTAACTTACCAAAACACAGGAAATACATGATTATAAAATACAATGTAATCTATTTACAATAACAATATAAATTATTAGCAAAATGATTGTACATAGAAAATTAATATAATTGTAATTTAATTTTGGTTTATTATTTAATCCCTTTGAAACATACTGAGTATTTTACCATGAATAATAATAAATTAAGTACGTTTGAAAGGTATAGAATCAAATAAATACAAAGTGGTAAATAAAATGCAACTTAATTTATAATTTTAGTTTTAAATAAACTTTTTTATTTAGTGAAAATACCTAATATCAATGAATATTCAATCAAATACTTTAAATACTCTGAATATAGTTTACACATGTCTTATCTTAAACATTCAGACTGTTAATGATTTTTAGTCTTATTTCTGGTAATTCTTTAAATCTTTCTTTTATATGTACTTTATCTGACAAAATATGGAGAATAAAGAAAACAATGAGAAGCTATTAAATTGTATGATAAAAGGTAAAGTTTTATTTGACAAAATTTATTTACTGAACCAATATACACAATGCCTTTTGAATTAATGATTCATAGAAAATTTACATTTGTTCAGAAATGCTTTGATGCCACATTTAATTAAATAAGTGTAAAAGTTTAAGTTGTTGAATACAAAAAAGTATAAAATATATCAAGTTTTATTTAATAACACTATTAACTTCAAATAAGTACAATTAATATTTTCTAATATTAACTGATGACATAATTTTTAGTATATCAAAATTGTGTAAGTTATTATTTACATATGTGTAGGTCCTGGTCCTAAGTATAAATTAAGGACTTTAGTTGGATACGAAGAACATTGTCTTTCTCGAAAGAGAGGTCCAGCTTATACTATAAGACCTCGTACAGAGCTTCATATGCGAAGTATTGGTCCTGGACCACAATACAATGTTTCAAAACTGACAAAATATGGAGTAGATAAGCCACCTGCATATACAATAGCTCCTCGAGAACCTTTTAGATGTAGGTATATTTATTCTAATTCATTTCCTGGAGACATGAAATATGCTTTACTGAATGAGAATATATTAAAAACAGTACCATTTATTATGAACATCAAACATGATTTTAAACATTGTTAATTATTTTTGTACTAATTCCTTTTTGTATTATTCAATAAATGTTTAATCCAAATATAACATTAGTGAAGTTAGTTGAAACAAGACTGGCAATTCATGTAATTTGTTTAAAAATATTTAATTATTTTCAATAAAATATATATTCATCCCGTAAAGTAATTCTTTATAGTAAGAGATTCAGGACCAGGACCAGGAGCACATTACCCAGAATTATGTCTTCCAATGAATCATGATGTTAGACCTCCTGCTTACACTATTAAATCAAGAACTAAAAAAGGACTAAGCGATAGTGGGCCTGGTCCAAATGTGTACATTTTACCTTCATGTATAGGACCTAAAATTCCTGACAAAGAAGCTCAAGGTGCTTTTTCCATGTATGTATATAAATTTAAAATTTATATTAAATTACAAACTTTCTAAATAAGTTAAATAAACGATTAAACTACAAAAACTACATCTAATAAAATTATTTTATTTAGGCTATGATTTGTGTATATTTATAAAAATAATATTTGTAGAAATAACAGTTTTAAATATACTTTTAATTGTATGTAATATACATGATTTTATTTTATTTATTACTTGATTATTAATTGTGATACTTATTAATTATTCTGTAATTTATTTGTTCTTGTAAATATGTAATGCAAATATTTTATTCAAACTGAATTCCACTATAATATTAAAATGTAGAAGTTACAAAAGCAATTAAATTACATTAACCAAAAAACAAGTTGAAGTGTTTTCTTTGATTTTTGTATTAACGGTTATCCATAAAAGATTAAAAACAAAATAAAATCAATTGCAAAATTATAGTTAAAAATAAGTACAACATTATAGATCTGGCCCGCATAAAATACGCCAAGAAGATGTTGGCCCAGGACCAGCAGCATACACAAATATACGAACTGACCTTATAAAACATAGCTCTCCAGCATTTAGTTTAAAATGGAGATATCACAGAATAGATACAGATGTAAGTCCAATGCCATATTTTCCACAGTATAATAAAGGAAGACGAGCACCTACCTACTCCTTTGGTATAAAACATAGTGAATGTGCTGGAATACCTATCACAGAATTAGATGAAGATTGATGTTGTATATTTAATTTTATAAATTACTAAGAAGTGTCTACTTAATGTTTATACAATGGTTTTATACAGAATATTTACAATATTTGTAATGTCAAATTTTTATAATTTGCTTTATATAATTAAAATATGTTACATAAAATCTAATTGATTCTTGCACATCTTTTTGTCCGTCTTCAAAACGCATAATCCATTTATTAACAAAAAGTATTCCTCTTACAAAAGAATTCTCATTGTAATAAGTTTGAAAAATCAATTTCTTTTTCTTTTGTATAAATAAAAAATATAAGATTTCAGAAATGTACTTCTAAAATTTTGATGTGGAGCTTATAGGAGTAACAAAGTTACAGTCCTTTAAGGTCGAAGCCATACGATCTCTTGTTTTACATGAGCTTAATTAGGAGATGTGACTGTTTCAGCCAATAATACGTTACAGCTGAAAGTACGGATGAAATATGATCAATCAGACCCGCATTCCTTTCACATTCAATCTTTTTAGCTCTGTATACATACACTGTTGGCCAAAAGCTTCCCCTCGCTCCTAATCGCAGAAACGCAAAATGGTACAACCACAAAATTTCATATAGAAGTAGATAATGTACAAAAAATTGCGAACTCACCAGGACAGCTCTCAATGCGTAGCATATGTACAGCTTAAAGTACAGCAGTTACACGGTAACTGCCCAGGTCAAGTCGTCGGACCCAAAACACACAGAGCAGTCTTGGGTCCGGCGACTTGACCTCCTGGGGTTTTTGCCCGCAAACACAGCAGGGTTCCATTGTGCGGGGCGGCTATTGTGTTGCGCGCCGAGAGAATCTCCCTGTATATATGTTACTTATTTTTTTTAAAACTGTTCTATTTGTAAAGCATAGAAAATAAAAGTTGGCATGGCAATAATAATTCCAAACATATTATTTTAGATTACTCACGTTATACGAGAAAAATTATTGTAATACGAATTCATACAACACGTAACATATTAACCGTGTTATACAGGAGTCTATTGTAATAGGTCTGTTGGTCCCATTATGTTGTGACCTCCATCGCCTCTTTCGAGGCTTCCCTTATTATCACAGGTAGTGCTGCATTGAACGCCATCTTTTTATCACTTTTTACACGTGTTGTACTGATTGAAGTTGCCAGTGCTCCTTTGCTCTTATTTGAGTGCTTTTGGGAAGAGGGTGCACAATTATGGCTCCGTGCCCTAGATCTGGTTGGCATCTTAAAATCCGCATAAGGTCCGATGCAGACGAACGACATTGTCGTGCGATTGTGTGTATGTATATCTTTCTTTGTACAGGGTGTAAAAAAATTAAATGTCACGACCTATATGGGGTGATTCTACACCTCTGGATCGGTGGAGATCTGTCAAAGAAAGCGACCGCAAAATTGACCTTGACCCCTAATTTCAAGGTCAAACTTTTTTATTGGCTTATCGTATAGTGCTCATCAAGGGGATAAAAAGTCTGAAAGGAACCATGTGCCGGAAATCAACCCTTCTCCTGGAAAAAAGCCGTCAAAGTTTCCATATACCATAATGCATTAAACGTTGAGTCGCCCAGTACCCCTCTCCAGTGATCTTGGCGCGGTAGTCTCGCGTATCGCTCGAGTTTCACGGTATAGGACAATTCTTGAATTTCAGTCACAATGCCAGCATATAGGAAGGGTAAATTCTAAGAGAGCCTATTTAAAAAGATAAAATAACTACTACGTGTAAAAGAAAATAATAATGAATTTAATTCACTGAAATTTTGCACTTTGAATATAAACGCAAGATAAATGTTTAGTTTTATCATTTCACAGTTCGTTAACACATCGCAGTTATGCAGTTAATGCATCAGTTAATTATTACGCAAAGGACTGCATCAAATATTTATTATCTTATTATATTTATTATTATATTACTTATTATTATTATTACCTTAATATTATTATCTTATGTTACATATATTATTTTTTTATATAATTACTTTATATTATATTTTTATTATTATTGTTATTTATATATTATATTACTTATCATACTTGTATCATATTATATTATATTACGAATGTTTCGATTAAATTCATTTTTATTTTCATTTAAACGCAGTAGTTATTTTGTCTTTTTAAATATGCTCTCTTAGAATTTACCCTTCCTATATGCTGGCATTGTGATTGAAATTCAAGAATTGTCCTATACCATGAAACTGGAGCGATACGCGAGACTGACGCGCCAAGATCACTGGAGAGGGGTACCGGGCGACTCAACGTTTAATGCATTATGGTATATGGAAACTTTGACGGCTTTTTTCTAGGAGAAGGGTTGATTTCCGGTACATGGTTCCTTTCAGACTTTTTATCCCCTCGATGAGCACTATACGATAAGCCAATAAAAAAGTTTGACCTTGAAATTAGGGATCAAGGTCAATTTTGCGGTCGCTTTCTTTGACAGATCTCCACCGATCCAGAGGTGTAGAATCACCCCATATAGGTCGTGACATTTAGTTTTTTTACACCCTGTACTTTGAAAAAAAATACGACGATAAACATATAATCACAGCGGTATCGCACGACAAAAGATCACTCGTTTGAATTGCAACCATTTTGGAGCGGTCGAGCACTGGCTCACCCGTGTTTCTTCCTAGTGAAGAACAATTTTATTAGTTTCCTTACCACCATTTGTTATTTTTGTTAATGCATTTAATTTAAAAAATGTATTACAATTTTGAATAAATAATCTTATGTTTTAAACATTTCTTTGATTTAATATAATAGCAACAGAAACATCTTATTGTAAGTGATTAAAATGTCGGTATGTAATGTATTGTATGTACACTGTACACACATGTATATGTATAACAAATTATTAAAAAAATATTTTGAGCAGTGTATTAGAGGAAGCACTGAAAAATCACAATACTCACCAATATTATAAGATTCAATTATACTTACAATATTAGTTCTAAAACAAATTTTATATATTTGAGAATTCCAATACCAATGTTCTGATATGTATTCGTTTCATAGTTTTATTTTTTTTTTATTAGAGTGCATAATTTTTCGATTGTCGATGCGTTCACGAATCACCTAATATGCTATACTAACCAACTATCTGTATTTAAGATGGCGTAGTTCAAATGACAATATTACAATTTTAATATAATCAAAATTCTTTTGGAAATGTAAATTATCAAGTATAAAAATGTCATCAAAACCCCGTCCACAATCAGAAACTGAACCAATAAAAAAAGCAGAGAAACCTGGATCCTTTATATGTGGGATTAGAGGTGAATAGTTAAATTTACTTTAATATGTTACAAAGTCTGTATAAACATATAGCCTTGAAGCTATTAACTACAAAATATTTATTTGTACAAAGATTACTCAAAGACTTTAGTTTCCCATGACATAGCCTTAACAAATTTTATACCTTAGGTCCAGGCCCTAAATATCTACTTAAAACACTTGTGGGTTACAAAGACCATTGTCTTTCAAGATATCGAAATCCAGCGTATACATTTGGAAACAGACATGTTATAACTCGAATATGCGAAGGGCCAGGACCAAAATATTTGTTAGTAGGACCCAAGAAGAAAGGTTTTAGTTTTGGATTGGTTGGAAAGAGTTTTGGTATTATATTTTTTATTCATACAATGAGTTTGCCATATGAACTTATGAACTAATAATTCATTATTCAATCTTCTATTCCATTGGTTCTCAAACATTTTGTTGGACGGCACACTGAAATTATTCAACAAAATCCACGACATTCCTATTATTATTATTGTTTGCTTTTTACAGTTAGTAAAGATATGAAGACTTATTAATATTTGGCTTTTTCCACATAAACAATTGAAAATTTCTCAGCTACCTTGTGGCGGCACCCAGTTTGAGAACCACTATTCTATTTTTATGAATTCTCTTATAAGTTTTTGATTTAAAAAAATAATAACTACTTTCAAAAATGTAACATCAATTGTACTTATTTTCATTATTCCTGTATTAGAATTACACTAGGATTTTTTTATTGCTAGGTACTTGCAGTAGCCCTGGTCCAAAATATCTTCTACCAACCCCTAAATCAACAGCTTTCACAATAAAATCTAGAACTAAACAAAGACAAAAATGTGTTGGGCCAGGACCATACTACGTAAAATCTCCCACACCAGGACCAGCATTCTATATGTATGTATCTTCTGTTTTATTACCTGCTTGGTGTATTACTGGCATAACTTCTCCAAGTTCCATATACAAAGATATTTTAAGTCTATCAAAAGATATGTTCAACTTTATAACAGGAAAATGCTAAAAAAAATTTGATTTCTGCTTCTGCTAAATTATAAAATTTTTGGAACCTACATTGTTTCAAAAAACACGTACAATGTGAAAATTGAAAGTTTTTTGTGTTAAAAGAAATCAGAAAATTACTAATAGCTTAATTCTGAAAATATTTACAACAATAGACTAAATAACTCTGTCAGGCGGCGGTTCAGTATAATGAGCACGCCCGGGGGGGGGGGGGGGGGGGGGGGAAGTAATACGAAACCCAAAGAGTTGTTTTGAGGAAATAAACGGTTCCCAAGATATTTGCAAAAAACTGTTACTGCTACTGCATCAGGATCTTACGTCTGCGTGCACGTCCTTGGCAGCGCATGTGCTGGCATGGTGCGATCGCTTTTAATTATGGTTTAGTTAGTGTAATAATTTAATAACTGAGTGTGCGTTCAAAAAATTTGAAGCCGCCGCCAGCGTGCGTATGCAGAAACAATAGATAAGCGGTCGCACCACGCCGACGCATGCGCTGCCAGGGACGTACATATATAGGTAAGATCCTGATGTCGTAGTAGTAACAGTTTTTTGCAAATATCTTATGAACCGTTCATTTCCTAAAAATAATTATTTCGGATTTTTACTCCCTTCGACTCGCTCTTCACAACTATATATATCATACTCCTACAAGGCGTTGTCACCATACTGAACTTTTGCCGAAAATTTATACAATCTTTGCCACTTTAATTTGTCCTTACATTTAACTGAAATTTTTTAAATATAAGTAATTAAAAAAATGTCTAATGTATGTATGTTTTATAGAGGAAGACGTATAGATGTTGCAAAATGTGATGGTACACCAGGTTCTCGTCCTTACAGCATTGACTTGACTAAACCAAAAGCGCCAGTTTATAGTTTAGCTTACAGACTAGGTGCAAAAGCAATTTGCCGCTCTCCAGGACCTAAATATCACCCTATACTTCCTAAACCAACTCCTCAGTATTCTTTTGGAACTAAACATAGTGAGTGTGCTCCTCCATATATTGTAGAATGTGACGAACAATGTTAGAACACAATTAATATTTAACAAAAATTAACAGTCCAAATATATTAGAAAATACCTTTTATTCTAAATTTAATATATATTCTCATAATTGCTCTAAAATGTTTATCTGTCACTAATTTGATCTACACAAATATACGTTAATCTTTCGGAATTTTTCGTATTTGTTAATCTTGTAAGGAAACTGCGACACCACGTGAACGACAGATTCTCAATAAAATAGGCTCGTGCTTTCGTTTGCAGCGAGATTTTATTTACACAATAACGAAAACCAAAATGCTAAACCAAATAATGTAATGCAATAATACAAGTAGAAAAAGTAAATCAAAGAATATTCTACAACGTAAGCTAAGCGTTTCTAAACGGATCGGTCCTTCGCCCGTTTTTACGCAGATACCGTTAGACAATCCTTCGCTAACTGTCAATTTTCACGACAAGCATTCGTCACGCTGACTCATCTACTGGCTGCTAGATGGGTATTCGGTCGTCGCGCTTGTGGGTATTAGGTTCCACGGGAAAGGAATGGTAAAACAGAGCGACACTAATTTACGATAGAGAATATGTCTTTTTTATTGCACTGCACCTACGCCGTGTGTGCACTCTAAAGCCGAGTATCCACCTGTATCAAACGCCCGTATCGTATCACCGTTCCGAACCCTTTTGAATAGGCAGACGTTGCCTCGTTGCATGCCACGGCGTGCTACGGCTCGGACAATATTTCTTCGTTTCTTGAAAGAAACTCCTATAGGCGAGAAGTTTCGATTTGCTGCATGCTGTTTCTTTATTGTAATTGTCCTAACCATATCATGTTTGGTATCATTTTAATCAGAAAAACGTCACAAATATCTTGGTAAAAGTTTTATAAGAAAAAAATGAAAAATAACAAAGTTCAGTCATTGCATTAGTATTATCTCACTGATATATCCGATTCCAGATCATATTATCTCGAGCCTCAAGTGTCATGTTTCCACTTGACATAGCATTTCGGGCCTTCGCCTGGGTATGTTGTTTTTACGTTTCAAGTGGTCTCCGAACCTATCCTTTGAACAGCAAGAAACCGACAATTTTCGGATCGGCCCGTTCCTTCACCTCCGTATCACAGCCCAATAGAACTTTCGATATTCGGCAACGGAAAAATCTCTGGATAATTAACATTGTCCATTTTCAATAATCACAGAGGTTCTTATTAACATTGCTCTTTTATGTACAGCGAATCACCGAAGATAATTGATCTGTTTAAATATATTTAGACGATAAAATTTGTCTAAATTAAATTAGATTAAGTTCATAAATAATTTCATCGATTTTGAAATGAATCCAATAATACTGCAAGATTTCAAATAAATTGAAACCCAAGTGACGGCATGAAACGCTATGTCAAGTGCAAACGCATAAACCTTTCCTTCGATACAACGGCAAAGAATCGACAAATTTTTCGGATGGGTCCGTTGCCTCCGCTCCTTTGGAACGGCACGCAGCAAAACGAAACTCCTCGCCTGTAGTGGCCCAGTCCTATTGCCGAACCGTTTCTATCAAGAAACGAAGAAATATTGTCCGAGCCGTAGCACGCCGTGGCATGCAACGTGGCAACGTCTGCCTATTCGAAAGGGTTCGGAACGGTGATACGATACGGGCGTTTGATACAGGTGGATACTCGGCTTAACAGTTGTGCTTTATTGAATGCGTGGGACGCTTGCTTTTTTGCATCTTGCTAATGGTACAACAGTCTTACCAAACTAACTATAGACTAGAAACTAAAACTAACCTAACTTAACCTAGTGACATTTAGAGGGCGCATAAGAGCGCGCCGATGGTCGCTACATCACTCCCCTCCGAGTGAGTTAATTAATTTGCGAACGTCACATTTTTCTTTGGTTTATAAGTCTTTACATTTGCGTTTAAATTGCTTTCTGCTTTTTCAGAAAAAGCTGGCTTTAACCTTTGTACTGAGATGTTTACTTCTTTTCCGTGATAATCTATCTTGAAAATTCGGTCGGTAATTCTTTTGACGAATTTAAATAGACCTTCGTAAGGCGCTTCCAAGGATTTCCTAATAGCGTCTACTCGGACAAATACGTGTGTACACGTGTACAATGTTTTATGCGTAAAAGTATTCTTTACGCCATGGTGTGACTAGGACTCGGCTTTACTTGCCTAATATGTAGTCTAAATTTTTCCAAGAATATCTGTGGGTCCACTGTTTCATCCTGCCTAATAAAAAATTCTCCCGGCAATCTAATTGGGGTACCGTAAACCATCTCAGCAGCGGATACCTTAATATCCTCCTTATAGCTTGCTCGGAGTCCCAGCAGAACCGTTGGGAGGATTTCCACCCAATTTTTCGTCTCATGGCACATTATTGCGGCTTTTAGTGAACGGTGCCACCTCTCAATCATGCCATTTGATTGAGGGTGGTACGCTGTTGTCCTTGTCTTGTGACAACCGATCAATTTTGTCAGTGCTTGAAACAATTGCGACTCAAACTGTGTGCCCTGATCTGACGTGATGGTAGCTGGGGCTCCGAACCTTGCTATCCAGTTAGTATATAGGGCTGTGGCCACTGTGTCTGATGAGCACTCGACGAGTGGCACTGTCTGAGGCCACCTGGAAAATCTATCTATCACAGTTAAACAATATTTGTACTTGTTAATTACCGGTAACGGTCCGACTAAATCTACGTGGATATGTTCGAAACGACCGCTAGGAACTTCTATTTTACTTGGCGTGAATTTGTTATGACGGTGAATCTTACTTCGCTGACATGATACACGTGTGCGAGACCACTCGGCTATGTCGCGATTCATTAAAGGCCACACAAAGCTTTTGGCCACAAGCCTTTTCGCAGCGCGCCCGCTCGGGTGCGACAAATTGTGAACATTGTCAAAAATTTTCCTACGTAGTGTTATTGGTACGTAGAGTCTAACGCTATTTCATATCACATCTCCGTACAAGTATTCATCTGAATTGTCCAAAACTATCTTTTGGAAATTCCACTTGCCGGAGTTTTTGGATAATATTTTTTGCAATTCCCCGTCATTTGCTTGTGCTTGCATCAATTCTTTTGTTGAAATTATCACGGATAAATCTATTGTGCTCACTCTTGAAAACGCGTCGGCTACAATATTTTCTTTGCCTTCTACATATATAATTTGTGTTGTGAATTGGCTTATAAAGTCCAACTGTCTAAGCTGCCGTGGACTAGCCTTATCAGTCCTTTGCTGAAACGCGTATACCAAAGGCTTGTGGTCAGTTTGAATAAGTAGTTGTCTACCTTCGACAAAATGCCTAAAAAATTTGAGACTTTTATAAATGGCCAAAAGCTCCCTGTCGTAAACACTATATCTGGTTTGAGCTTTTTCCAATTTTTTTGAGAAAAAACCGAGTGGTTCCCACTCACCGTCGTTTAGCTGTTCCAGTACTGCCCCTATCGCTACGTCTGAAGCATCCGTGCGCAGCGCCAACGCTGCGTTCTCTCTTGGATGGTGCAGCAAGGAAACGGCGGCTATGCGTTCTTTAGCTTCATTAAACGCCTTTTCAGACTCACTGTCCCAACTTACAGGTCTCTTATCTTTTTTCCTAGCTCCCTTCAAATGTTTATTCAGCGGGTCCAGCCGTTCTGCTGCGCCAGGAAGAAACCTACGGTAAAAACCAACTACGCCGATAAATCTACGGAGATCGGCTAACGTCTCCGGCTTTGGAAAGTCTTTGATCGCTTTGATCCGCTCGTCCAGCGGTGCGATTCCTCTTATCACTAACCTTACATCCTAAATATTCTACACTAGTTTCCGCGAATTTACACTTAGCTAAGTTTATAACCAGTCCATTATTCCTTAATTGGTCAAATAATGCACGCAAATGTCTTTCATGAGTTTCAATATCGGGTGATGCTATAATTATGTCATCTATGTAACACTGACAAAAATCTAACCCGCGCAGTATGTTATCCCAAGACGCTAGAACGTTGCAGCGCACATGTGCTACGAAAAAGCGTGGGACCCAGAGAAAATAGGAAAAGACAAAACCTTGTACTTGCTGAAGGCAACTCTTGAGGAAATTTACGACCCTCTCAGAGTGCATGAATAGACAGGATATCGAAAAAGACTTCGTAACTTTTAAGGACCGTTCGTGACTTGGTCGAAAACAACGAATTGGCTATGGTCTATCATAAATTAGTCTTTTAGGAATTTTCGAAGTGAAACTATTCCATTCTCTGGATTTCCGGCCTTCTCTCAGCTCGATCACCCACGTCGAGGGTTTACAATGTAATCTTTGTCTATTTATATAAGTGTACGCACAGATGATGTTTGAATTTCGCTCTTAATTTATGACCGTCGATACAAAAGGTCCTCGACCGATACTACAGACTATCGATAAATATTCCCATGGCAGTGTCGCCATAACACTCTAAACATATTCACGTGATAACGTTTCACGTTACATCAATAATATATATTCCAAAAAAAGAAAAAAGTCAAATGTTTTAACGGCTAGATAGAAGTTCGCGCTAGCCAGTTGCCGCACAAATAAAATATACATATTCTTTATACTACTGTAACGTGTGTTGCGAGATTCTTCGTAATTCTAGGGATTTTTTAAATCCAAGGAACGTGGGTAAGCCGCCCGTGGAGCGCTAAAGCAATCTGTTCACGTGAAATATTTAAAAAAAAAGAAAACTAATTTTTAACTATTTAAAATGAACTAAACTTTTAATAACGATTAACTTTAAGTTTAATGTATTGGAACAAGAACAATAAATTGAATTGAAAATAAATGTTTTACACGAGTACTTCTCTTGAGCGTTTACAAAGAACAAAGGACAAAAGATTAGGACAAAAGAAAGGACAAAAGTTCCCCTATATATACAGCTTCTGATCACTAAGTAAATCATCGTTAGCAACGCTCATTAATTCTATCCATGACTAACATTTGATAACGAAGAACCGATTCTCTTCTACTGATCGAGTTGTATAATAAGGAGTCCTTTATAACAAAATACTGTTCTTCCTTTACAATTTAAATTTGACGCACTTCAGCCACCACATTCAACTTTCTTTACAACCTAGTTCATAATTTATACAGCCTGGTTCACAATACGTTTCGCACCATTTTTTGTTCCTGCTGAACAGATTGCAAAGAAATTTGAGGGACGTGTTCAGGAGGCCCTAAAGAATGGCGCTCTGGTCCTTATTTTACCTAAATCGTCAAAAAGTTGTAAAATATTGAAATTACTGTCTGTCCACGGTCAAGAAAATGGCGGATCGGACTCGCCTGCATTAACTTATTCGTAATATAAACATTTTTGCGAATCGAATGTCCAAATAGAGACCAGAGCGCCATTCTTTGGATCGGATAGAGCAAAACGAGCACTCGGGTAATGGTGTACAAGCTTTCGTTTAGAAAAATAGTGGGTTCTACGACTTCGTTGATTTTTCACTCACGAAAGACGTCAAAAAGGTAAAACAGACCACAAATTTAGTTCCTTGTTTTTTCTGTAGGGCGCAGTTTGTTCGTTTTCTGTGCTCGACCGCGCGCTCATTCGCAGCTCGTATATGTGAATATGTGTGCGTCAATCGAACCGTCGACGACGATACAATGTATCGTGAAGAATGGGACGTTCGAGCCTGGAAGAGGCGATGAACTATGATGCGTGAATTTCTTTTTCGTGCATCGTTCTATCGACTAGGATAGCCATTTTCAACCCATGTGTCACAAGACGTACTATCATTATTTTTTGTTGCTATTATTATTCTTTTTTTTAGTGAAACTGCAGAACAAATACGTCCTTCCCGATTTCGATGATTTTTTGATATGTTATAAAAATTGATATTTTGAACAACTTTTTCTTATACATATAAGGAGCGTTCTCGCTTACTTTCCTAGATATTTGCAAAAATATAGTTGTTGATCTGTGACAGCATACATTGCGTCAAATTGCTTGCCACTTTTCTGTTTAGAAACGAGGGTCGAACGAGAGTGAAGGTTTCGTTCACAACCGCATATACCAGACTCCAAGAAATGTCTATTCAAACCCAATTACAAGTGAATGTTATTGATGTAATCAGTTAGGTTATAGTATATATGTACATCCGGCTGCCTGCGGTCGGAAACGCTTTCGTGAAATAATAACAAATTATTTATAATACGCATTTGTGCATTTCTTGCAATTTTTTTTTACTTCTTATTATTATTGCAGAAAAACGTTGCCGGCCACTTTACGGCTGCAACGTAACCCATCACATCAATAATATTCACCTGTAATTGAATTTGAATACACATTTCTTGAAATCTCGGATATGCAGTTATGAATAGAACTTTTACGGTCCCTGACCTTCTTTCTAAACAGAAGACAAATGGCCAGCGGATGGCAACCAACACTTATGCATGTGCTGTCGCAGACGCACATCTATAGGCAGAATTCAATGTGTTATATAGATAGATTTTTCATTGTCAGCGGTTTACATATTTCATTTCAACGGCACAAAATATCCTGGATTTTTAATATTTTTCAGTCACTACTGCTACACACGATCTGTACAGGAGAGTAGTGAAATGCTAATTACTTAGCATCCCGAAAATAAATATGTTGCCAGATGTATTAAATTTTTTGTAGACAGATAAGTAGTACATTTTTTCAGCATATAATCTGATATTGTTACGTCCCGACAAAGGAAATTCCATTCTCTCCAATTTCAAGTTGCAAAAGCGTTAGCAATCAGAAAATCGGTTCATTGACTGACCTCCTTAGAGTCACCAGCGTCAACAAATTCTCTCTTCTTCTCGAAACGCTGCGTCAAAAATTATGTGCAACGCATAGACATTCCAACAGGTCAGTATACTACTGAACTCCTTAATCATGCGAAATCAGCATTTTCGGCCTTCATAAAAAACCAGTTACGGACAATAGCGATACAGACGGCCATACAGTCGCGAGGTGCGCGGTCTTTCTGTCCGAGAAACATCCAGTATTGCAGAATACGTCGAGCAGAGTTTCGTGAGAATCAAGTGTCACGCGAAAAGACTCAGTTTTCTCGTTAATTAGACTCAAGTTTTCAAATCATTTGTAATTAAAACTGTTAATGTAAAGTATTTAGATTTATTGTTAGTGTAGAGTCATAGTTTCATCTTGTCAAGAACATTGTATCATCATCCGTGCGTCGAGAGAAGAGAGAGAGAAAGGAGCGAAGGATCGAACTCGTTAACCGTTTCTGTTCACCTAAATATCCGGTGAGTGCGATTAAAAAACTGGATACTCTGTCCTCAGTAATTAAAGAAAATTGTAATATCTCTTGAATGCCCATTATATTTTCATACTTCGTTTCTTTCGGCAAAATATATAATAGTTATTTATTCAATCTCGTTAATTATTTAGTGCGTATTGCCCAAACCTTGTGTCCAACGAGCGAAAGGCTTGTATCAGTCTAGACCGAATCCGAATCCTATAATATCTTACCTTCACAAAGAAGGTGTTTAAGCGTTGCGTCGGATCATATCAATCCGCAGACTAGTCACCTACCACTACGCCTGCTCCGCACGTAACAATATTATGCTGGACTCTCCTGATTTTGCGTTACGCCCAAATATTCGATGAATAGGAAACGAAAATGTGACGCTGGAAGAACAACACGGTTGGAGTGAGTTCTTCAATGCTGGTGAACGTAGGAAAGGACAAATAGCGAAAGAGAAAGAGGTCCGAAAATTAAACGGCCCGAGAAAAAACATTTGAGAGAGACAACATTAATTCAACAATAACTTTTTTATTTTTCATTTTTGCTAAATGAAACTTTCACCAATGTCATTGTAAGGTTGTACTGATTAAAATAAGACCAAACACCATATAATTTGCATTATTTTTACTTATTTAGATATAAATAAGTAAATAAATAATTATAATTCAAATTATGTCATATTTGATCTTGTTTTAATCAAAAAAATCTAACAAATACATTATTACATTTTCATTATAAAAATTAAAAAATTTTGATTGCGTTAATATTGTCTCACACGTATCCGGGTATTTTGCTTTTTTCCTGTACACCTCGATTCTCGGCTGTCACCACATCAAACGCGAGCCGAACTCACTCCAGAAACGTGTTCTGTACACGATTCGAGTTCGCATTCGGTTCCGATTGAAATGCACGAATCGAGATTTTACTGTATTTACACATTTTTATGCTGCTGGTGGCCGTGAATAAAAAAGAGGATTTTACAGGAAATAAGATACATGAATACAAAGTGTTGAAGCATAGATAAGGGTTATGTCACTCAATTTTGAAGAGGCAAAGAAAAAATGTACAGTGGCGTCAACTCTGCGTTTACATGCGGCGCGAACCAAGCGTGAACGTACAAAGGGACAGACAGTGGAGAAGAGAGAGGTCCAAGAATTCTAACCTAGGAGCCGAAACATATCGGTGTGACTGATGCTTTTTTATTTCTGACATTTTCTGAATGAAACTTTTACTAACGCATTGTCGGACTAATTGCCTTCACGACCTCGCTAATAAGCCTATGCTCCAACAGTGCATAATATATTACTATTCTCTTATTCTGTCGGGAAGGGCGACAGTCTATTATTTTCAATAATATTTACGAAGTGACATCTCAGCCGCTGTATGTCATGGGAATAGTTTTCTGAGCAAGGGTTTCCACCCAAAACTATGGTAGTGATGTATGCCGCCGCGTATACACCACAACTGTAACAATCTGGTTGCGCCTGAACTCTTTCAAAAAGTATATCATTTTTGCGAATATGAGGAAATCGTAATGCAATATATTTTTTTTCTTCCTCTACGAGCTTGTCGTATGCACTGCCAGGTAAACTGTCGTATACATGGAGTTTGCGACCGTCGAAATAGATACTTCGCCAGTGATCAGAACAGTTGCCTCCAATTATTTGCACGCTTTTGTCACTACAGCAGGGCTTGATAAATTTTGTAAACTGTAAGTATAGGACACTTTGCGTTTCAAAAGGAGCAGTTTCTCTGACGACACGCAGAAATCGATCCAACGATTCATCGTTTAATTTACTTTGCACAGGTAGTACATTTTTCTGTACGTCAGTTACGGAAGAAACAGCAGTCTCCAATATATAGTATCCTACATCATCATCTATGAATTTTTCTTCTTGGTCGGAATGACTGACAATGACACACTCGCTATTTACTGCTTCAACGGTCATATTTGATGCTTCAACACTGTTCTGTATCATGTTTTCATATGTACGCTTTTTTGTGATTTTTCTACTAGATTTTTGAATTGATGCGTCTTCTTTTGCCCGTAGTATGTATTCTGGATTTCTAATAGGCATGTGTCTATTGTGGCGGCTGTCCAATATTTCCGGAAGCATGCATTCTTCGTAGAAACGCGTTAGGGAAGGTTCCATATGATTCGTCCAATACGCGTCGTCCCTATTTACGTGGATCATATGTATGCTTTGAGGTGTCCAAATAGCGAAAATACAGTACTTCCGCTGCGTTAGATGCAACTGACCTTGTACTTGGTAGAAATACTGGTGCTTCCTATTCATTTCTTGTATATCTCTCTTATCGAAGATGTTTCGTAAGTGACGTATTGTTTCTATTGCGTCTGTCGCTGTCAAATTCTCAGCAGATTGCGGGCATTTCAGTTCCAGTAAACCGTCATCGTCGATAAGTCCATCAGGAGATGCACCCAAGTATGGAATGTCGCGATCAATGAACAATCCACAAGTTCGAATTCTTGTTTTCATTGCGTTCGCCACGTCTTTTCTTGCTATGTGTTCTTTATCGCGACCGTATTTCATAGCAGCGGTATCGACAAATGGAGGATATAAAATGTTTTTTACCATTGCTGCGCAAGACGTTGTTTGTCTCATGCGACACACTGCTCCAAAATTCGAAGCAGTTAGCATTTCCTCCTTCAAAGTTCTCCATAAATCTGAATCGTTTTGCTCTCTTGTGTTCGTTTCTATTATTGTACGATTTTTTGCATTGTCTGCAAGCTTTTGAAAATGTTCCTTGCGAAGTTGAAGCAGCATATCACTCGGAAGATCTGGTCTTTGCGAGTTTGGACCATAATATTTATCCGTTCCTTGCACTGGCTTTAATTTCCTTGTCTTACCATAGGTCATTCTAAATTGTTTCGTTTTTGCAACTTTTTTTTGTCGCCGTTCCTCCAATCTCTTTACTAGTGGCGGAACGGTTTTACACATGTTCTTATGCATTTCTGTAAGTACTTGTTGCGTATTGTATTGCGTAACAGCTCCTGCAACTCTAGCATTGTAGGAACCTCTTGCACCAAAATTAATACGTTTTCCACCAATCTCTTTGCAGATAATTGAATTAAAAGTTTCTGCGGGATTGTTTGTAACATTCATTAACAAGCTATCCGAATAGCAGCTGAGGAATCGTATGGCTTTCTCGACTTCGCTATACAGACCGAACAATTTCAAAGATGGAACGTAATTTTTCTCAGCTCTGTTTACGTCCGGCATACACGTATGGTTGCGGCTATTGCACTCCTTGTGCTCACCAAATATATGGCTAGGAATACTTAAAATGTCCTTCTGAAGTTCTCTAGCTTTGATATGCTGAGGCCCTTTTTCTTGTTTTCGCGCATTGACTGCTAAAACAACAGCTCTACGAATATTTAAAATATTTTTTTTAATGATATTTCGGTATGCAACATAGCCACGTGCTCTCTGACCCTTCGTTTGCGTTTTCTCTGCAACGTGTCTCAACTTCTTACATAAATTACGAAGTAAGTGATTGGTACACTCTACTTTTCTAACAGTTACTTTTTGTTCTCGGTAAGGTCTGTTATTCACAATAGTATGATAGACGTTGCTATCACCATTGGCAACAACCGTTCTATATATCAAGCCATGCATTTCAATGCTGCAATTGAAACCTTCAGCAATAGCGTCACTTTCCATGCTACTAGAACTGGCATAACGATCATAGTTTTTATAACATTTATGATGTTTTGGGGATGTAGCTTTTCGTTCCGCTATATCACATATTGTGCAGTATTTATTTCGTATGCCGATAAACAGAACTTTTCCTGTGCGGAAACCTACAATGGCACCAACACCGGAAAGTGAATTATAATTCGTACCATACGATCTCTTCATCCAGCTACCATCCGCTATGACAGTTATGTACGGGATACCGTCGACGACTTCATTGTTTTCAGAAGCTAATCGTCTTTCTTCTTCACCTGCTGCCTGCATGATATACATTGCGCTTTTCATAAACTCATCTACAAGTTTTTCACGGAACCTGCGGTACGTCGTTTCAGCCATGCAGGGCATGTTCAGGGCGGCGCATAATTCTTCTAATTGTGCATAGCCGATTTCGACTGTAACAGTCGCGGTCGTCATGGCCTCATTTACATTCATTATATCTGAATGCATAGGTTCCGACCAAAGAATATCTTTGTAATTGCACATTTGGCACTTGAAGAAAAACTGTGTCAGACACCCATGCTGGCGACTACCGATCATTTTCCAGTCGCGAAAATGACATTCAATACCTCGCGCATGATTGTCGAACGTTCTATGTATTTCATTCCAAAAGAACTGAACGTCAACAATGCGGCGGCCTTCTGGCACATTTTCCGAAATACGTCCCACATCTACATGTCCGACGTCTACGACGAGATTGTCGTCGCTATTGTCCAGGACGTTTTGTACAGTGGGTCTTTCACTTGTACATTCGCATTGTACAACGACAGTTTCATCGTTTTTGCGAAGGGCGTTTTCTGATAAGATGCGCCCCACATCGTTATTTTCGCGAAGGGCGTTTTCTGATAAGATGCGCCCCACATCTTTTACATTATTTGGGAGAAATGAAGGATTTTTATCAGACATATCTGTCTGACTATCGTCCTTTATAGTTTTCCCAAAAGATTTTAGTGGTACATTATATTTTTCTTCGAAAACTACAGCAGCGTCAATCTTCATTGTCGACAATTGCCGTTGTTTCTGTCGCCTGCAAGGTAGAACGCATAAAATTATAAATATTTATAGGATAATTCATACAAATTACTGAAATGTATAAATCTGAAACACGTACAGTTTTCTGTAACCACTTTTCAGGGAGAGTTTTCTCTCTACACGCAATCCTTTACGAATACTACCTTTTTGATTTCCCATTTGTGTTTATTTTTTTCACAAATGCTTGGAGATTTTCTAAATAATATGTCTTCTACGTTACCGTGAAGACGTCTTATTGTTAGAAAGAATTAGATGACAACGCGGGCCATGGCAACGCGCTTCGTAGATGTGAAACAAAAACGAAACGCTAACGCTGTCGCGTTTTCTAATTTCACTGGCATCGACAGTTCAACGAATGCTACCAAGGAGAGAACAGGGTAATGGAATCGAAGATGGAGAAAACCGACAGTAAGTGTTTCTTTTTATCTTTACTTCGCGGGTGTCATTGATGTCTTTCGTACATTAAAATGAGTTATGTGCATTCTTAAAATTTCATCGAGATCGGTCAATGCATTTAGAAGTTATAAGTAAATTTCAGATAATCGCCTAAGAACAGAAGTAGTTACGTTCTTGGATGAAAAGCCACGATTTTCAGAAATTAATTACTTGTAACTTCTCAGTGTATTGACCGATCTCGATGAAATGTTCAGTATACACATAACATATTTTTTACAAATATTATATCAGTAGAAAAGCAAAAATACCTTGATAAAATTTTTTAATTTCAAATAAGAAACTGGAAAGCGATCATTTTGACCCCTTTGGTAGTTCTAATGTCAAATTTTCATCACAGGCTGAAATAAAAAATTTTAAAATTGCCTTTTTTAGACGCGTCTCCCCGAGACAATGAAACAGACCACTATCCCAACGGTTTCTGCAACAATTGTTGCAATAATTGTTGGAATAATCGTATATTATATTGTCTCGCGGACACGCGTATACACTTTTACTATTTTATTCCAGATTTAGAATAATTGTAATTTTATATCTTAGTAAAGTATAGCTCATCGTCAAAGCTCGAAAAAATGTGCACTTTTCAGCCGATTTTCAGTTGTCTCCGCCTACCGCTATTCCCCTTGTCGCGACGTTCAGCGCGTAGCCAACGAACCGTTAGAGGCTCAGGAGCGTATCACTCGTAAACATATACTGACAGTAGCTTTCCACCCCACCTACGAGGTACTATTATCGATGCGTTTTTTGCCAGCATACGTTTACGAGTGATACGCTCCTGAGCCTCAAACGGTTCGGAGGCTGCGTGATGAACGTCGCGGCAAGGGGAATAGCGGTAAGCGGAGACAGCTGAAAATCGGCTGAAGAGTGGAAATTTTGTCGAGATACATATCAATTTCAGGTACATATTACCCATGTTTTCCAATTTGTTTTCAGATGTTGAAGATAAAAAAGCAGAAGACGTGGAGCCGCTGTTGCTGCTGCAACAGCAAGTGCAGCAGCTGCAGTTGCAACCGCAACAGCTGTTACAGCAACAATCGTTGCAGATGCAACAAAACCAAACGGAGCTTGCTACCCTGCGGCAGCAAGTACAGGAATTGGGCGAACGGCAACATGCTGGGCTTATCGTAAGTCATTTTTTTGCGTTCATGTTCATACGTTATTTCTGCTATTGTTTATACATAATATCATAATATTTATTTTTGCAGCCGCAGCCACAGCACCAGCCAAAGCACCAGCCGCCGCACCAGTCGCCGCACCAGCCGCAACACCAGCCGACGCATCCAACGTATCACTCCCCATTAGCCGGGCTCTACGGGCCGGAACAACCAACCGTAAGTCGTTTTTTTACGTTATTTCTCTTATTCATTGTTTATGAATAATAACATTATATTTATTCCTCCAGGCATACAGGTCAGAACAGCGGCTGTTCCGGCAACGCCGCAGAGAGGCGAGGCGGCTGTGGCGGCAAGTAACGTGCCGTGACTGTTGCGGCAGCTGTAGTTGCTGCTGCGGGCGGCACACTTGAAGTGAGTACGACGATAATATCTGTATAAGTAATAATGACAAAGATAATATAAAAATATGACTTGTTTGATTTCAGGAAAAAATTATAAAATAAAATTTTATTTTTAGTATTATTAAATTAGTATAAGTTTCAAATATTCTTCTTTCATTTTATGTTGTTATTATTATTATTATTATTATTATTATTATTAATTAGTATAAGTTTCAAATATTCTTCTTTCATTTTATGTTATTATTATTATTATTCGTATTTTTATAATAAATGAACAGAAAATATAATTACCATTACAATCTCAGAGATATTTAATAAAATGAGAACTCACGCAGACTAGGTTTTAAATAAATTGAACATAATTAAAATAAGAACATGGTTATTATTATTATTATTATTATTATTATTATTATTCGTATTTTTATAATAAATATTATTCGTATTTTTATAATAAATATTGTCATTGTCTACTTACATTCTTGTCATTTATTCCCCTATTACTTATACTGTGTACTAACGATGTACAGTAAAACCTGGATAAATGCAATAAAAGAATGCTTGGATAAGTGCAACATCGCTATCCCCTCCACTTGGGGGGATCCCCCTAGGCAAACCGAGCCGCTCGACAAGGGAACCGTGTAATATGATCCGACCGTAATATCGGTGTGACTAATACTAATTGAACGATAAAACTTTTCTATTTTTAACTTTTTCTTAATGAAACTTTTACTAACGCATTTGTGAGATTTTTCTGATTAAAATGACACCAAACACGATATAGTTTGAATTATATTTATAAACAATAGTAATAGAATAAACAACAGAGAATTGACACCACGACTGAATATAAATGATGTGTACGGATGCAGAATCGGCATGTCGGCTGAATACAAAACATGTGTACGGACACAGAATCGGCATGTCGGCTGAATACAAAACGTGTACGGACGCAGAATCGACACCTCGCTTGGATAAATGCAACATTAAATGCCCAGAATCGACACCTCGCTTGGATAAATGCAACATTAAATGCCCAGAATCGCCACCTTGCCTGGATAAATGAAACCTTTGAAACCAGAGCCGACACCGCGACTGGTTTTGATTTCGATCTCTGTTGCTTTTCGCCAACCGTTAACATCAATTTTAGCAAGTAATTATAATTGAAACTATATCGTGTTTGGTACCATTTTAATCAGAAAAATTTCACAAATGGGCTAGTAAAAGTTTCAATAAAAAAAAGTCAAAAATAAAAAAGTTTTATAGTTGAATTAGTATTAGTCACACCGACACGTTCCGGCTCTTTTCTTTCATCATCGGACCTCTCTCTTTCCGCCACTGTCTGTCCCTTTCTACGTTCACGTTTGGCTGGTCGTCGCGTGTAACCCGAGATTCGACACCTCGCTTGGATAAATGCAACCACTGGGTCCCAATCTTGGTTGCATTTATCCAGGTTTTACTGTACATACAGGTACATTGGCGATTTCATTGAAAAGGATAAACTAACCTTAGGCATTCGATTGGTAGGAATTCGGAGTACAATATCAGGACATATTATAAAACAAATAACTTTAGATATTCGATTTGTAGGAATATTCTTCCCCTGGTTATGTTATATTACAATAAATGTATATATAATATTTGGCTGAAGGTGTTACATCATTCATACATTTCCTAGGTGATATATGCAGTATCGTATTTTATACTTTGGCGGTGACATACATAATATAGCTATCGTAGCATCCGTGTGTCATTTAGGTGTGACGTAGCATAGCATGCCGTTAGTTGGATGTGATAACTGAGGTGGCGCTGAAATCAGTTTCTGTTCGGCCTAATTTTCGATGAAACGTTGACTGTTTTACCAACGCGGAATTTGGAGTTCGGCTTCGACGCTCGCATCACCTTAATACATAGTTACGGAATAACGAGTATGTCACACTTCAGCCGGGACATCCTGTATACATATAGAAACCATGTTCTTGTGTGCATATCTCACCGATACAATACACTTATACATATGTATATGTTCGAAGCAACAGACGCCAGTGCTCTAAGTATTCATGTGTGCGAACTAATTTGCATTAAGCCTCGTACAGGGTTGAGCATTTTTGCCCGATCGAACGATTTCGGCGTACGAATGCTCTAGTCTAGGCCCTGTTCGCGAAGGCCCCGAGCACGAACGAACGCTTTCTGACGACTATCGGTCCATCAAAGGATGTTCGAGCGAACAAGCGCTCAGTGTGGACGGGTTTCTGGTACAGTGAAACCTGGATATCTGCAACGAAAGATTGGCTGGATATATGCAACATTGCTATCCCCTCCACTTGGGGCGATCCCCCTAAGGCCGCGTTCAGACTATGCAATAAAGTTGTACAACTTTCCATGCAACTGAGGTTCCGAATTTCTGTGTTTCTGGCCGTGCTTGTACCAGGTATGCCGTCCAAAAAAGAAAATGGTTTTCTCCTGTAGAAAACCATTCGGACGGCATACCTAGTACAGACACGGCCAGAAACACAGAAATTCGGAACCTCAGTTGCATGGAAAGTTGTACAACTTTATTGCATAGTCTGAACGCGGCCTATGCGAACCGAGACACTCGACGAGGAAGCCGTGTAATACGATCCGAACCGTTATACAGTAAAAGCTGGATATATGCAACAAAAGTTTGTCTGGATATATGCATCATTGCTATCCCCTCCACTTGGGGGGATCCCCGTAAGCCGAACCGAGCCGCTCGGCGAGGAAACCGTGTAATATGATCCGACCGTAATATCGGTGTGACTAATACTAATTGAACGATAAAATTTTTTTATTTTTAACTTTTTCTTAATGAAACTTTTACTAACGCATTTGTGAGATTTTTCTGATTAAAATGGTACCAAACATAAGGCAGGCCGTGCACCAAAGATGCATCAAACACGCAACATGCATACGTACGAACGTAGAATAGGTATCGCGGCTGAATACAAACTATGTTTACGGACGCAAAATCGACACCTCGACTGGATATATGAAACATTAAATGCCCAAAATCGATTCCTCGGCTGGATATATACAACGTTTAAATGCCCAGAATCGACACCTCGGCTGGATATATGCAACGTTTGAAAGTAGAACCGACACCGCGACCGGTTTTCATTTTCAACCCTCCTTTGCTTTTCGCCAAATTTTAACATCAATTTTAGCAAGTAATTATAATTGAAACTATATCGTGTTTGGTACCACTTGAACCACAAAAATCTCACCATTGCGCTAGTAAAAGTTTCATTAAAAAAAAGTCAAAAATAAAAAAGTTTTTTGATTCAATTAGTATTAGTCACACCGATACGTTTCGGCTCTTTCCTTTGATCATCGGACCTCTCACTTTCCGCCACTGTCTGTCCTTTTCTACGTTCTCGCTTTGCTGCTCGTCGCGTGTTACCCGAGATTCGACACCTCGACTGGATATATGCAACGTCTGGGTCCCAATGTTTGTTGCATATATCCAGCTTTTACTGTAGTACGTCTGTTCCTGACGACATTCTAACTTCGATTGGTTTACGATGCCCGAATGTGATGCTCGAGAGAACGAAGAAACATCCGAACGAACGTTCGTGCGCCGAAAACATTCGTTCGGGCAAAAATGCTCAATGATGCATGACGATTTCTTAGGTCTCGTTCAGTGTATTAGAACATCCCATAATCTGGCATCCCGTAATCACGTACTATGCGTTGCAGCTAAGTTGCCGAGCACCGACAAACTGAACCGACAACGGGGCAAGGGGACTGTGCGTTCGCTCCACCTAATCCCCTCCAGGAGCCCGTAACTTGAGAAGTGAGCGGCCAGATTGCATAGACGTAAAATTTCCATATTCGCGGAAGATGTATTTAATTATATAAACATGCGAATTTTTCGAGATATTAATGGATTTTTTATAATACTCGTTCTTGACAACAGTTGTTATTATGCAAAATTTATGGAAATTACATTATGGAAAGTGTAAAAACTCTCCTGTTTTCTTAATAATGTAAACCCCGAATCTACGTCTACGTCAATGCGTTTGAATCGTCGCTCTCAATCGCTTCATCTCATTCTGTTTCAATGTCTGTCCTTAGCGACGTTCGTCACACGATAGATTTGTGGATGTAAGAGCTTCGGCCAATAAACATAATACGTGTGACTGGAGGTAGGTCAACGAATTTGATTGGACGGCAACTTAGCTGCAACGCACAGTACCTGATTTCATGGTAACGTACAATGTAACTGCTAGATTCCTTTGCTTCGCAATTGTACAAATTTATATGTATATAAGCGAAGGAAGAAGTAGCCAAGAAGTGTTACAGGTGTTTGTGCATGGCCTCATCAGACGGTGCTTTTCGCAAGAGTGCCGAAAGAATCGATAAGAAACACATGCGCCAGCAACAACTTTGTACATATTTCTTCGTTCACTCTTGCATGGCCTCGCATACCATCGAGTCCACTAAGAATTGGAGCAGTATCAAAAGGTACCCGATGATGCCTCCCACGACCTGCAAAAAAGTTTTATTCTAGTATAATTGAACTGGGAGGAATTTAAACTAAAGCTTTTGCCCTCAGCTTTGCCTCTTTCACTATATACTGTACAGGGCAAATTTAGGGCAATCTTACCTCCGCAAGAAGCAATGCGTTCAAATCGATTACTTTCGCTGAAAACGTAGTGTCACCGTGTAGTATGTGCAGCGAGAAAAGCTGCAGCTGCAATTTAATAATATTTATAGACATCTTTTGAAGATTCGATGAATTTGTAGCTTACCTCGCGTTTCACCGACAAATCGGTCGCCTCGCTAAGGGCATCGTGAAGAGTAGTGCGGATTTGTTCAGCTTTCTTAGTCGCCGTTTCACAGGCCCAAATCGTCGTAACAAATTTAAGAAAATTATATATGACAGGAGTAATATAAAGCCAGTACCAAAATAGTTGATTTTTCTGAGCTTTTGTCCCACCGATGATCAGCACTATCCAAAAGTACAAATTCAAAGTAACAATAACACAAGTGTTGAAAGCTGTTACTACGTGTTGCGTGACAAACATCTTGTTCAGTAATTGTAGAATATCGGTGACCTGCAGGTGTTTCCCTTCTAAATTCTTCAATTTCATCAGCAACGAGGCAGTCCTCTGTTTGTGGCGCAGAAATGTCTTGGTGACGGGTTTTCGAAATTTATTAATTTCTTCGTTGATTTTCATGAAGCATGCTTTTAAAACGCACGCCGAGTTAATGTGGAACATGTCCATGACGAAGTTCACCAACATAACGAATAGAACGTAAAAATTTTTCACTGTTATGAACGTGTTTCCACTTTCAACGCAATTGAACACGTGACTTGAGATAAGCAAAAATACAAAAATATTCTTTGAATGAACGAATATCGCCATGTCGTTGAAGTCCTTTGACGCCACCATGGAGGACACCTCCGTGAGCTCTTGAAGAAAGCGCAGTATCGTTTTATATTGACCGTACGTTAACGAGATAGTGCTTACAGTCATGATGAGAACCACATTGAGATGCATTTTTTTTGGTATAGGAATGAGTGTCAACGGGGTGGAATTACTTATATATCCCATATAAAAGGCCACGATCAGGAACGTGGTCAAAATGGTCATTGAATAAATTACACGAATTCTTGAAATGGTATATCCTGAAGAGTCTAATTTGAAAGGAAAAACTCCGAATAGATTTCCGATGAAATGGCAAGGGTACATCAGCGAAACGAAATCCGTGGCGTGAAATAGTTTTCATTTCTTGTTCTCCTTTAATTCTGTTATCTTCCAAGCTTCAGACATCGTTCTTCCGAATAGTTCTTACTCACGAAAATTGTCTGTCTGACAAACTAACAGAAAAAAACTTCGTTATAAAAGTGGACAGACTGCTTATGTTTTCAATAAACTCGAGATACTAATGTTTAATCATGGATGTAGGGCGTTTGAACGATTCTCTTGGTATTAGAAAATTGCATGATATTAAAAAATTAATTGCAATACGATAATACATAACGTGAATAAATAATTTGTTGCATAGTTTGCTTTTAGCATGATTAAGAGTGGTGCTGTAAATTTATAATTTATTCCAGGCTCTTCGTCAATCGACCATAATTGTTTCTTCACTATTCAATTAAAAATCATTACATTAGAGCTTCTTCTTAACAGGGCTTTACAAGCAGAGATTGTACCAATAGTACGACATAAGTGGAAATAGAGCACACTATCTGCAAGAAAGAAAATATGAAAGAATTAAATATTAAATTCGAATTGTAAATTAAATGAATTTACCTTTGTCAAAATGGTTGCGTCCATCGGAAGACCCATCGCCGAGAAGGTGCTGTCACACTGCAGTACTTGCAACGAGAATAATTCCAACTACGGAGGTGCAAATTAATAAAATTCATCCATTAAAATCAATGAGATTTTATTCATAATTCTTCCATCATTTCACCTTACCTCGATCGTCGTCTGTTTGTCAAAAGTATTCACGACGATTCGGTGAATATTAGAACCAATCTGCTGGGCTTGGCTCTTAGTCGTCTCGGTGGTCCAAACAATCAAAATCAAATTGAAAGTATAATATATAATAGACATATTTATATCGGAAAACCATATGGTAACGATATTCTCTTGAGTAAAAAGTACTACATAATGATACACATTAAACGTGAGGTCAATGAAGATCATTATAAGTAATCCGATATTTCGAATATTATACGTCTCGTTAATTAACCGAACAGCAACAGTGATTTTTAAATGTTGTTTTCTAAGATTTCTCAGTTGTTTGAGCAACTCAGGATTTTCCTGCGATTGATATACTCTGCTGAAAAGATGCGGCTCTTCGTTGATCACCGTTTCGTTCAGTTTTACCAAGGAATCATTTATTTTTTCAAAACAAGCTTTTAACACGTACACATTGTTCACGTACAAAGCGTTTGCCGCTACCATCGACAAAAACACGTACCAACAGGTGCAACCAACTATGTATCCAAATCCCTTCACAGTGAGTACAAAAGACGGAATAAATGGGATGAAAAGCAACACGTCCTTCGCGTACACCAGTTTGGCTAATTTGCGAATGGTTTTCGGTGGCAGCAGAGTAGCAACATTTTTCACTTTCTCAATCATTCGTACGGTAGAATGATTTGAAATGTAGCCACATATAACGATCATGGGACTCAAGAACAAAATGAAATTGTTGTGTAAACCCATGGACTTGTCGATTTCAATAACGTAATTAACATTGTATATGGCTAATACCATACAAATGCTGAAAATGATCACCAAGATCACAGAAAATGAGAAACGAGATTTTGATATGTATCTCGATGAGACAATATTAAAGCGCAAAAATCCAATGCACATATTTACGAAAATACAATAACGCATTAACGTTCTGTAGTTTGTTACGTTGAAAAATGTCCATGTTTCGTTTTTATCTTTGATTTTCTTTTCACCGAGTTTTGGTACTTGGTTGAACATTTGGAGAACGTTTCTTGAAGTAGTATATAAAGTACCTTCTTCTTGGAGGTTGTATCATGTACTAGTGGAGAAAGAGTAATAAAGTTAGAATAGTGACATTTAATCATTATTATGCAAATCTAGTTGAAGCATCAAAAAACAGAATGAAAATATCATCCACTAATGGAAGAGGGTTTTAGTACTTCCGTTAAGTCTTTAAAATGGTAGTGCATGCAATACATTGTATGAGGAAATTGTTGGGAATAACAGTTGCATTATCTTGATTAAAAGTAATCGATAAAGTTAATACGATATAACCTATTTTATCGATTCTGTCTACCCTTATCTGGTGTTTATATCAACATTTACCGGGAAGTATTATTAGAAATACTTGAAGAAATATTTTTTGAAATACATATTCATAATTTGATATATTGTTAGAAGATTTGCAATTTTTATTTTCATTATTTTTATCAAATTATATAATAATGTTTTTGTAGTTACAGACATGTAGATAATGACGACAAATTGGGTTAAAATAATACTTGTTGCTTGTAAGAAATGCTATGGTAGTGTTAAAAATTCCTGTTCAAAGCTATACACTATCGCTATTTTCTCAATTAAGAGCGTAGCATTTGACGTCAATGAGTACTATGCGTAGCTTATTTTATCAACTTCCTGTGTTTACTGTTGTTAATAGATATAATGTTTTTTAACCGCGATATTGCAGTTTATCATTGAAATTTTTTCTTCTATTAAATAAAACAACCATTTCGAAAGGGTTAAGGTGTCAGCAGTATTGACGATGCCATAAAATGTTTTATTTAGATCGCCTGCAAGAGTAATCAATTTCTATAAATTAGAAGCAAAAATATATAAACTTCAATACGAAAGTCAATTTATTTTAAGTGAATAAATAATTATAATAATGTAATGATTTTAAAACTATATGATTACTAATGCGTTTAAATATATTTAATATTTTATTTTATATGGGAAACAACCATAACATCAATTTTAATTTTTTATGTATTCTACATATACATTTATATATTTTCTTTTTTTTAAATAATAAATTATCGCGTAAAATTATTAACTTTAAGACACATCTAGAAACGTATATGTTTCTGGCGAAGAGATAATGCTGAATAGGCAGTATAGATTAGGTATTTTTGCTGCCAATAAGCACCTATCAGCACCTATTAACGCTTATGTAATCAGTAGTATGACTGACTAATACCTGAAACTGTTTGAACTGATATCATTTTAAATGTGATAGCTACGTAGCTTTTGTATGACACCGACTGAAAGTAGTTTATAACGATTAATTAAATATTTATTTCCGCATCGGCAAACCGACGCGGCGTGAATGTGTTACTGTACCAACTTCAATGCGATAACTTCGGTGCAACTCATACGGAGAACTACCCAAGTGTTACACTCGCTTATTAATGAAACTTTGCCAGCTTGTAGAGTTCGTCGAGCTGAATACGCCTATACCCCGTTTTGTGGGCAGACGGCTAATTGTTTAAAAGATATTAATAATTAAACTTATAATTAATTAATAATTAAAAGATATTAATAATTAATAACTACTTACATTGAGAAGTATGACAGACTCACACATACAAACGGTTAACTCTGTGCAATCTAAAGGTCCACGGTTCAAATCCATGGATCCCAAGTTTTTTTAAAATTATAATTTCTCTTTTTGAATAACTATTACAGCTGTGCTATAATCACTGCATTTATTAATAATTAATTACATACACTGCAATTTTTATAGAATTTAAGATATTCAAAATAGAATATAGAATTTTAGTTTAGGATTATATAGAATTTTAATTATACAAAAAGAGACAAATCATTTAAAACTAAAAAAAAAAAAAAATGGGAACCAAGCATTTGAACCAAGGACCTTTAGATTGCGAGTCATGTGTTTAACCACGGAGCGGATCCATGACTCGCAATCTGAAGATCCTCGGTTCAAATCCTTGGTTCCCAAAAATTTTTTTTTTATGATCATTTTTATGTAATAGTTATTCAAAAAGAGACAAATTATCATTAAAAAAAAAGAAAAAAAATGTTGGGAACCAAGGATTTGAACCGTGGATCTCTAGATTGCGAGTTGTATGTGTGAGTTTGTCATACTTCAGAATGTAAGAAGTAACTAACTGTAATTGTTAATATCTTTTAAACAATTAGCCATCTGCCCCCAAAAGGGGGTAAAGGCGTGTTCAGCTCGACAAGCTCTACAAGCTGGCAAAGTTTCATTAATAAGTGAGTGTAACACTTGGGTAGTTCCTCTCGTCAGTACAAACAGCATCATGAACAAAAACAGTATTAATAAAGGAATAATTTCTTATATGTATTTAGAAAATTTCGTGTAAGTATTATTCTAAAATATTTTATTAATCATTTCAATATATGTGAAATGTTTATTTTGTTACAGAACTTATAATAGCGTTTCTCTAAAACCTGGGAGAAATTTAAATGTAATTATTAGACCTAATGGTACTGGTAAATCTACAATTGTTTGTGCCATTGTTCTTGGATTAGGTGGTAAACCTACTACCATTGGGCGCGCAACTCATGTAGCGGAATATGTTAAAGCAGGATGCGAACAAGCAAAGATTGAAATACATCTTACAAATGGACAGAAGGATGACGTTGTCATTTGTAGACAATTTAATATACAGGGGAAATCTTCGTGGTTATTGAATGGAAATGCTTCAAACATTAAAGAAATACAACATCTAACAAAGACTTTAGATATTCAGGTATTAATATTAATGTTATGCTAATTTGATCTAAAATTCTTCATTCCTTATTTTATATTTAGGTGGATAATCTTTGTCAATTTCTTCCACAAGACAAAGTTCAAGATTTTTCAAAAATGAATGCACAAGAATTATTAGAATATATAGTGTAAAGTCGCGGAGTTCTCTCTCTCACTGAGTCCTCGGCGTACTTTATGAAATTTGATCTACGTTGTCAGGTAGATAGAGGTTCTCACTTACCTTTCGCTGGGTTGACAGAACCTATCTACGGACGGAACCTGGGGTGGTGTGTCGTCCAAGTGTTGGAGCGGTAGGGTAGATGTTCGAGTGAAGATCACGCACTTTCGATCACAATGAATGTTTATTCGTTACTGGTACAGTCTTTCGATTCGTTAGCGTTTTACAATTGAAGGTTACGGAGCCTTGCTCTGTCGAAGTACGGTGCTTCGTAGCAGAGTTATATAGGTTAGACTTATTTAATTAATCGAGTTACCGGAATCTTGCTCTGTCGAAGCACTGAGCTTTCGTAGCAGAGTCGTGTAGATTCTTGAGGATCGAACTCGGAACGGTACTTCGCGGATTATATTCGCGGATTTTTGTACTTGTACTTGAATTTCGAACTGCGCCTATGAGAACTTCTTACGAGAACTATTGGTAAAATTGACTGTGTGCGGGCGGGCCCGGTCGCGTTATTTTATATTGATAAATGAGGTCGACATTTGATTTGGCAATTCGGGTGAACCACCTCGTTCGGATCGTCAGCGTTCTCGCCGTACGACGACCCGGCTGAGTTGCTCACTCAGAATTTGCAGAACGATGAATTTGGATGGTGCAATAGAAGTTTAAAGAATTTGGTTGATGAAATAGAAGTTCCAAGAATGCGTCGCAGGACGTGACAATACATATGTTGTACTGATTTGAATTGTGAAATCAATTACAAAATTAAGGAAACTTATGTTTATTTATATGTATATAGAATGCGTCACAGGACGTGACAATAGAAAGATCAGTGGGTGATCCTATAATACTTGAACATCATACAAAGTTACTAAACTGTAGATCAGAACATAAACAGTTGGAGTCACAGATTACAAGTAAAAAAAGATTATTAGAATCAAAATCTCAGATATACGAAGGACTAAAAGAAAGTGTTAGCAGTATAAAAGAATGGAAATTAATAAAGAAAAAAATTATATCTTTGAAGCAGAAAAAGGCATGGATGATATATGAACACAAACGTGCAGAACTGTTTCAGGTAAATCATAAAATAAAATTCATTACTTTTAAATATTAAAGTTCTTTAAATGTACATCGTTCTTGCAGTTAAAAAGCAAAATGGCAGCTGCACGTAAAAAAGTAGTATCTTTAGAATCAGAGATAAAATCTATTAATGATTTAATAGAAAAACTAAAATCAAAAATTCACTCAATTCAGAGCTCTCAGGCAGATGTTGTAAGTTTATATGTTTTAAATTACAAAATAATATATAACATGCATTTTGGGCACCCTGTAACTATCTTATATTTCAGAATAATAAAGTAAAAATTAAGACTTCGAAGATGAAAGGAACATTGAATGATATTTTGGAATTCGAAAATGGTATTAAAGAACACGAAACTGCATGCAAACACAGAATTCAAGTAGAAGAAGCACTGGATCATGATATTGACGTGGTTAAGCAACAAAAAAATAAACTTGAGGATGATTTGTCTTTGATATTAAAGGGCATTGGGTCTGAAGACACCTTAATGAAACAGCAAAAAGAAATATCGTCCAATATAGAAAAGCATAGGAGTATCATTGCCATGCTAACAAGTAAACATTCCGCGTTAAGACAACAAGAGAAAAGTATGAATCTAGAAATCAGAGTTCAGGAAACGGAACTACAACTTCTTAATACTGATGCTAAACGATTGCAATTATTAAGGGAGAGATTATTGGATACATATAAAGCGGTACATTGATTAAGAGACAACCGCGATAAGTTTTCTGGGATAATACACGAACCGATATTGCTCAACATAAATGTAAAAGATGCTTCATACGCAAAATACTTAGAAAATACTATTTCGTATCGCGATTTAATCGCGTTCGTTTGCGAAAACAAGAAAGACATGAATTTATTTTTACATTTCTTAAGAGGCGAGCAGAAATTACAAGTAAATGCTGTACATTCTGATCCCACGAAACATATTTCCATGGAACCAAATGTTCCTTTAGAACATATTAAACAGTTCGGTTTTACTCATTATTTAGCGTCACTGATTGAAACACCGAGCACTATTATGAAATATTTAGTAACTATGTATAATTTAAATAATATACCCGTAGGAACAAATCTTGTTGATGATAATATTGATTCTATACCCCACAATATACGTTACTACTTCAGTCGTAAGTAAACCGTGTACCAGTTCAATTAATTGGTTAATTAATATGTATATATATATATATATTTTTTTTTTTCAGGAAATAATGCGTATACAGTCAATAGATCTAAATACACAGGGGAGAAATCTACTATAATGCGATCAGTTTCAAGCAATGGAATGTTATTTATTGTATTAGATAAATCTAAGTTATCAAACATTGAACAAAAGTTTGTTCAAAATTTAACACATCAAATAGTATTATAGCTGTAAATAGTTTATAATAAAAATATGATTTTAGGTTGACAAGATTAAAGAAAGAAAAAGTTAATGCACTTAATAAAATGAAAGAAATCGAAGAACAAATGTGTGAAGAGAATAAAAAATTAGATGAGCATAGAGCTAGTAGAAATAAGATTCAACAGGATTTCCAACAAGTACAAGTTTTAAAATCTAGAATATCTGTCGTGGAGAAGAAAATTGAAAGTCTAGAAAATGAACGTACCAGTATTGATAAAATAAAAGAGCTTTTTACTAATAAAATTAAGGTTTATTTATTATCATTTCACGTTGTTATTGTTATACGTATTGCGTGTAAACAATATCTTTCGATGCATTTTTCAGGATGTTTTGAACAAACAACTAAGAATGTATAGAACATACAATAAAGAGCTCGAGGAATATTATAAATACACTATAGAAAATGAACAAACCGAGTTAATATTAAAACTACAAAATAGATCACTGAGAATGAAAATAAATGATTCTCAGGATATGAGAGATAAACTTAATATAGAAGAGGAGAAAGTACGACAAATTAGTTTAGAATTGAATCCAATGAAAAATGAAACACAAAGGATTTACAATGAAGCATTGCAAACTTCTAATGGCATTAGTCCTACAGATAAAAGGTTTGCCTCTCTGGATAAGGTTTTCAATAAATTGCCACCAGCCATTCAAGAACTTAATAATGAACTTAATAACGCGCAAGCAACAGTTTTTTGTATGGGAAACAATATAGATGGTGAAAACGTTAGCATCATAAACAAGACTATAGATTATAAATTAATACTATTTATTCGCAGATATTTAACTCTTTTAATTGTAGATATTACGCGAATACGAAGATATTGAAAAAACCACCGTAAACTTGCAGGAATTCATTCAGAAAGAAACACAAAATTTAGAAACACTTCAACAGAGGATGAATATGTTGCGAGAAGAATGACCTAAACCTCTTTCGAGCATTGTTGACAAGATTAATTCAAACTTTAGCTCACATTTTTCGGCAATGAATTGCGCTGGCGAAGTTACGTTAGCTCAACCAGAAAATAACGTAAGATATGCAAGAAAAAAAAAATTAAAAAATTAAATATTAAATTCGAATTCCAAATTAAATGGATTTACCTTTGTCAAAATGGTTCCGTCAATCGGGAGACCCATCGCCGAAAAGGTGCTGCCACACTGCACCACTTGCAAAGAAAATAATTCCAACTACGGGGATGCAAATTAATAAATTCATCCATTAAAATTAAGGAGATTTTATTCATAAATTTTTCCATCATTTCATCTTAGCTCGATCGTCGTCTGTTTGTCAAAAGTACTCACGACGATTCGGTGAACATTAGAACCAATCTGCTGGGCTTGGATCTTAGTCGTCTCGGTGGCCCAAACAATCACAATCAAATTGAAAGTATAATATATAATAGACATATGAATTTCGGAAAACCATACGATAACGATATTCTCTTGAGTATAAAGTACCACATAATGATACACATTAAACGTGATGTTAATGAAGTGCATCGTAAGCGATCCGATGTTTTGAATATTATACGTCTCGTTAATTAACCGGACAGCAACAGTGATTTTTAAATGTTGTTTTTTAAGATTTCTCAGTTGATTGAGCAACTCAGGATTTTCCTGCGATTGATATACTCTGCTGAAAAAATGCGGCTCTTCATTGATCACCGTTTCGTTCAGTTTTACCAAGGAATCATTTATTTTTTCAAAACAAGCTTTCAACACGTACACATTGTTCGCGTACAAAGCGTTTGCCGCTACCATCGACAAAAGCACATACCAGCAGGTGCAGTCAATTATGTATCCAAATCCGTTAACACTGAACAGGAAACTCAGAATAAATAGGATAAAAAGCAACACGTCCTTCGCGTACACTAGTTTGGCTATTTTGCAAAACGTTTTCGGTGGCAGCAGAGTAGCCACATTTTCCACTTTCTCAATCATTCGTACGGTAGAATAATTTGAAATGCGACCACGTATAACGATCATGGAACTCAAAAACAAAATGAAATTGCAGTATAAAACCATGGACTCGTCGGTTTCAATTACGTAATTAACATTGTATATGGTTAACACCATACAAATGCTGAAAATGATCATCAGGATCGCGGAAAATGAGATAAAGAAAATGAAATGATGGAAAAATTTTGATATGTATCTCGATGAGACAATTTTAAAATGCACAAATCCTATGCACATATTTACGAAAATACAATAACGCATTAACGTTCTGTAGCTTGTTACGTTGAAAAATGTCCATGTTTCGTTTTTATCTTTGATTTTCTTTTCACCGATGTCTGATACTTGGTTGAACATTTGGAGAACGTTTGTTGAAGTAATATATAAAATACCTTCTTCTTAGAGATTGTATCATTTACTGGTGAAGAAAGAGTAATAAAGTTAGAATAGTGACATTTAATGCGATATTTCTTCCCATTCTTCTTCTGTCGCAGAAATCTATACATGTTTTAAAAAAAAATTACCATTACCAAATATTATGTTTTTCACAGAGAGATATAGTTGAGGAGACACCTTCTACAGGTACGACACAACCTTCGATCGTAGAAGTACCAGAGGAGATAGAGCACGATCAGTTCCGACAACTGAGAGCAATGGGTACAAGAAAAAGAACGAAAAAAGAGAACGAAAATGAAGTTGCAGCTATAAATTGTTTAAAAGTATTGACTGATACTGCAGCTAAAAAAGATGATTTCTCCACCTACGGAGAGCATATTGCAGCCAAACTTCGGAGTAGTAACAGAAGTAAAAAAGAAATTGCTATTGCTCAGCACCATATTGACCAAATATGCTTCAATTTAATTATGGGGGCTTACGAATGCCAAGCGGGTTCAACATCAATGCCATCAACAACGAATACCGAAGATGCAGCTTTTCTGAATTTATTATAATAATGATTCATTGAGTTTTAATTTTTCTTAAATAAATATTAAATTTTTAACAAAATAATGGAATTTTACTTACCTTAACGAAATTCTTTAAAGTACAAATAAGAGCTTCACATACTTCAGGTACGATTTTTGAGATTAATTGTTTGGATATTTTGAACGTATACATTAAACTAGTAAATGAATCCCCTATAATTAATATCTCAGTGTTACGGCTAATCTTATAGAAGCAGGAATGGCTGCACGGAAGTTGGTATCTTCTTTTCCGATTACTGGACCAATTTTTTGTAATAGAATTTCAAAATCACTTTTAGACATCCGTACAAAATTTCTAAAACCAGAGCTATCGTCTAGATTTATTTCTTTAAGGAGATCATGTCCATATCTGTATCCTTCTTCTAAAAAGCTACGCCTACACAATCGCTTAGTAGCTTTCTGTTTCTTTTTCCGAAAATTAAAAAACAGATATGCCCCATAAACCGCGAGAGTAACCTCGCTCAGAGACATAGCGAAACATACTGATTTGATGTAGACACACGACATCGTCGGCAGACAGTCTACATACGTTGTCCGCGAAAAGTCGAGTGATGTTGCCGGACATGGTATGTAGACTGTCTGCGGGCAATGTCTGTCAGTCTGGACGGGGCTTTACAGAAAATCAAAAATACACTAGCCAAACTACAACTTATGGAAATAAAAGTAATTCGATCGAGATAAAAAAAAATAATTACTCCTTAACAAAAAGTGTCCGGACTAGTACAGTTAAGGTTTAGAAATCGAGAGTACAAGATCGTCTGACTAAAGAAATGCGTCAGGACAGGTCTGTTCGAAAGTCTAGTTAGTGGTGGGGGAAGCCTACTCGACCAGAAAAATCTAATAAAACGGATCTACTCGACTAAATCGTTTTACTAAATTACTTGACTAAACTGTAGTGTCCATACATAAGCAAGTTATTAAATTACTCGCCACTCGACTAAATTACTAGTCGTGTCTGAACCAGTCTTAATAGCAAGTTACTAAATTACTCGCCACTCGACTAAGAATACCGTCCTGATTTCTTTTCTATTTTAACACTGGAACTACCGACGTTTGGTGCACACCGATTCTTAGGTTGAAAATAATTTAGAAAATTAAATAGGGGTCATTCCATGCCAAATCGATCACTTTTCGACATCACCATCGGCGATTTTGTTTTAAATGAAATTTGTTTACATGTTTCGATATCACAAAGTTAATTATCGAGGTTGAAAAATTATTTTATAAAGCTCAATCCTTTTTGAATAAAACAAAAGAAGATGTAGCCCAATCGGACAACCATTTCCGGAGATAAAAATTTGTAAGTGAAGTCCATCAAACCTCGACGGCGTATAATTTTTAAACAAATTCTAACCCGGCATAATGATGACTTAACCCCCTGCCCCCGTCCCCAATTTTACATGGACTACAACATATTTCATTTAGAACAAAATCGCCGATGGTGACGTCAAAAAGTGATCAATTTAGCATGAAATGGCTCACAGATAAAGGATTAAACGGAATTTAATATATAAATCCATTTTTTATCTTGACAATAGCCAACGCACATTTCAACAAGAATACCTCGACAAACGTTATAACTGCCGAAGGCCCGTAGGGCCTGAGGCTTCATTCTCCCAGTTGACTCTGTTTTGCGTTGTTACCTTTTTTGTGCAGAGATTTGCGCGGAACTGGACGTTATCATGCAGTCATCATTGGTATTATTGGAAAGAACACGTTTTGGAATTGTGCAAAAATTCTTGATTTTTCAATTCCTATGGCTAGATTTTGAAATAATCTCAAAACCGTTTTAGATGTGTTTTTTCGCTATCTTAACAGTTAAAACAAAACTTTTGTGCGAAACTGGTTGAGAAAAAAAAGAAAAACATATTAACTGTTCCAAATATCTTACTTTTGTACGGACCTTCGGCATTCGCTTGGAGTTTAGCCTGCTTACTCTGGGTTTCCTAGTTTAAAATAAGAATCTTGAAGCCAGTCATTTTGACTGTTTTGGTAGTTCTAGTGTTAAGTGAATAACAGACTTTCTGTTGTGCCCCTAAGGATTTTTCCCCCACTTTGAGTACGAATTCTAAAACGTTCCGACTTCCTTCTGTGCCAAGAAATAAAACAAAGTTATAAAAGAATTCACAGTGTTTACTATTTATTTCAACCCATTCCTAATAGATAGTTTCCCTAATTTTTATTTTGAATGTATATACTACCAGCTTTCACGTGATAACGAATTTATAAAGATAAACTTCCTTTTTTTATCTATGACAGACGCCAATACAGTAAAATCTGGATAAATGCAACCAAGATTGGGACCCAGTGGTTGCATTTATCCAAGCGAGGTGTCGAATCTCGGGTTACACGCGACGACCAGCCAAACGTGAACGTAGAAAGGGACAGACAGTGGCGGAAAGAGAGAGGTCCGACGATGAAAGGAAAGAGCCGGAACGTGTCGGTGTGACTAATACTAATTCAACTATAAAACTTTTTTATTTTTGACTTTTTTTTATTGAAACTTTTACTAGCCCATTTGTGAAATTTTTCTGATTAAAATGGTACCAAACACGATATAGTTTCAATTATAATTACTTGCTAAAATTGATGTTAACGGTTGGCGAAAAGCAACAGAGATCGAAATCAAAACCAGTCGCGGTGTCGGCTCTGGTTTCAAAGGTTTCATTTATCCAGGCAAGGTGGCGATTCTGGGCATTTAATGTTGCATTTATCCAAGCGAGGTGTCGATTCTGGGCATTTAATGTTGCATTTATCCAAGCGAGGTGTCGATTCTGCGTCCGTACACGTTTTGTATTCAGCCGACATGCCGATTCTGTGTCCGTACACATGTTTTGTATTCAGCCGACATGCCGATTCTGCATCCGTACACATCATTTATATTCAGTCGTGGTGTCAATTCTCTGTTGTTTATTCTATTACTATTGTTTATAAATATAATTCAAACTATATCGTGTTTGGTGTCATTTTAATCAGAAAAATCTCACAAATGCGTTAGTAACAGTTTCATTAAGAAAAAGTTAAAAATAGAAAAGTTTTATCGTTCAATTAGTATTAGTCACACCGATATTACGGTCGGATCATATTACACGGTTCCCTTGTCGAGCGGCTCGGTTTGCCTAGGGGGATCCCCCCAAGTGGAGGGGATAGCGATGTTGCACTTATCCAAGCATTCTTTTATTGCATTTATCCAGGTTTTACTGTACGTGCGTACCTCTCGACCGTGAGCGCCTCGATGTATCTTTTCGGGATACCGGTCGTTTTGACGCGCTTCGTGACCTCGACGCAGAGTAAGATTGCGTGTGTTCGTATGAACTGCAAGGCGATGCTAGCCGCTTCCCCCTTGCTTTATCACATCCTTGGAAGCTTTTTCCATGACTTTTGCGGCTTTGAGATTTTCGGAGAATTTTTCTCCGAATAATAGGCCATCGATCGGACTTTCATCCACAATCTGTTTTACAATAGGATTTAATCCTGGTAGAATAAAGGATTTTCTTGTTTTCGACATATCATGGTGCAAGTCTGCTAGGATTCTACCTGCATCGGCAAGGCGTTCAATAAATTTTGTGGAATCGACCGCCAATTCAGTGCTTTTCTCCGCCTTTAACACCTCCGTTAATGCTACGCCGATAGCATTAATTCCCGCTCCCAGCTGATTTTGGGCCAGGTACTGGTAGTGGTCCTTTTTTACCGCCAGCGTCGATAAGGCAGTCTTGATTTCGGGGTTAGGTTTTGGCGCTCTGGTTAGAGGACAATTACCGATTGTTGGATATTTTTCTTGAAGATCGCGCTATCCTTACCTCCTCCCTCATACAAAAAAGATGTTTCCCACGGAACAGCTTTTGTTACATATAGGGCAGGCCTTTCAAAGTTTGGCGCAGAAAATCCGGGCGGCGCTGGTGTCGATACAAACACATATAAATGATATCGGTGAGGTACACACACACAAGCACATGGTCCCTATATACGTGTGCATGCTCTTACTTATTCAAAACTTTGAAAAATAAAAATAATGAAAGGGGAAAAATGACAACAATATATGTATAATAAAGAAAATATATTACATTTTTACAAAAATATAATATATATAAATATATATATATATATATATATATATCAATAATAATATACAATTAATCACAATCATACATACAATAAAACACACACTCTGCTCACAGATTGTACTTAATATATTAATACCATGTTAATGGTATTATATATTGTATATGTAAACTGAATACTTACAATCTTCTTCTTCTTTTCATTTGCATCCAGGTATCTTGTTGCTCTATTTTAATAGAGGCAGCCTCTGACATGCAATATTTATTACAGCCTCTGCAATAAATATTTTCATTAACAATTATTTACATATGCTATAAAAAGTATATAAGAATTATTACCAAATAGGTTCAGTGTTGGAACTGCTGATGTTGTTAATCTTTTCCTCATGAAGTACTTTTCTTTAAAGTAGCTGCTACAGATCACCCAGAATTTCAGTTTTCAGGTGGAAGCACCGACTTTGGGTTGTCACATACTTCCACCCACTGTGCCATCCTCTTCTTATCCTTTCTCTCTTGGGGGAAGAAGAACATCCTGTTGTTTTCGTTAATACACCCTCTGATGCTACTCTTTCTTTTAAGATACATTTTAATAATTAAAATTAATTATATTACGAAAACAGCAATGTAAACAGTTGATACTTACTTAATTTCTATCTTCTCCTCCTGTTGCTGCATCTCATCAGCAGAAGTTATTAAAAAACCTAAAAACGTAGAAAAAATTTAAAAAAATATCTTTTTAAATAATAATAATAGTCATAATAATAATAGCAATAGTGATAATAATAGTAGTAATAATAATAATAGCAATAGTGATAATAATAGTAGTAATAATAATAATAATAATTATAATAATGGAATTCACGAACCTGGAAATTCTGTCACCACTGTCACTCACTGCGCGCCATATTTCTTCAGTCTCTTTAAATTTTGAAACAATTGAAAAACGCGGCGACAAATTTCG